GCAGGAAGACATGTCTGCAGTGAATTGTTTGGGAAATCTAAAAAAGGAATGAATTACAGTTTTTCCTTCTTTGGGATATCTCAACAGCTGTCCTTCCTGACAGCAACAGATTTCTTTGCAGTGCCTCCACCTCTCTATAAAGGAGCCTGCTGGCAGTAAAATCCTTTCCTGCAGTCAAGGGAAAGTATGTCCCCCAAAGACAGTGATGGCAAAATTTTCATGTTGCAAAACACCCTCTTTTTCCAGAGCAACATGGAAAGAGAGTATTCCCTATACTCATCTATAAAAATTCTAGAAAAGTATTTTGTAAATACTTTGATTTGTAAAATCAAAGACCCGATGTGATTAATACTTAAAAGGTGTGGAAATTTATTGACAATTAGAGAAATAATTCTTTATATATGTCAAAAATATCAAGATGTCTAATTAAGAAACGGTAAACCTACACTGTTTTCACAAGCTGCTTTCCTAACAGAAAACACAACTGGAACGTGTACGATCAAAATAGCTGTGACTAAGAATAAAGTGTAATAATACTATCTCCTCATTGCTTGAATTGTATAGCTGTATTAGTTAACAGATAAAAAGTTGTCTTACGAGACATATATGGCTATGAGTCCTACATTTTGGAATACTTAGGTCTAGTTTTTAGGTTTGGTGTTTTTTTTAATGTTCATCTTTTTGTTTGGGTTGGGGGGGGTTGTGATTTCCCCCCCCCCTTTAAATTATGACAGTTTGTAAACCAGTCTTAAGTTTTGTTTTCATCAAGATTTATGCTTAGAAAACGTTGTTACACTAACAACAGGCTTTCAGCTCCTCTAAAATAAAGTTGTCTGACTAAAATGTTCGAGGTATCTCAACATTCACAAAAGTTTAAGGCAGTCATCATCACCATAGAGAAGTGTCATCTCTTTTACCTCTTTCCAATAGATTAGGTTAATTAACAGACAAAGCTAATAAACACCTTTATGTGATACCCTTAAAGAGTTAACCATTTATTTACTTTGTTTGTTATTGCATCAAGTTCGATAATGCATCCTGGTCGAGCAGTAGATTGCTGGCTCACAATGTTAAACACTTCCCCAATAAGTTTCTGAAACAGAGAAAAATGAGAAGAGTTAGTATATTTTTCCTTCAGACAGAAGGAAATTGCAGTCATTTATGATAAACTGATGCTTTAATTTTCTTGTTGGCATAAACCATAACAGACTCCTTCCTGTTGTCATTTTGTCACTATGAATAATGCGTTTATCAAGACAATTGCATTGTTATGAATCTGCAACTATTCATAGGGATAGCACACCAGTTTTTATGGAAACTAAATGCTGTTTATTTAAAGTTTTATCATTTTGTAACATAACTTAGTATCTGTACCATGAGCAACTCAAATAAACTGCTTCACTTCTGTTTAAAGCTCCAGGTTTTGTCACAACACGTAAAAAAAATAAATCAGTCCAGCTTATATATGAACTGAAGGCTCTATTGATTTTTTGCTGGAATGTTCACAATCGTTGCTCCTAGAACAGATTCCCCAGACTGATCTGAATACTGACAGGCACTGTTTTGCAGGATAGTTTATAAAATAACAGAAGAATGGAAAGAAAGAAAGAAAGATGTGCTTCTTTATACAATAGCAGTGCAAGGTCAGGCTTTACTTTGCTTAAAGTCAAAGAAATAAAAAGAATTAAAAAATTGCTTATTACAGAAAAAATAGGTGCTAATATTACCCTTAGCAATAACTTGCCAATTTCCTCCTATGCCACCATCTCTGCCCTTCCTCATATATAGATGTAATTTAGGTGGATATTGAAGTCTTGCTCTTCTGTCTTCACCTTCCCACTTGCTCTTGACTCCTCTCTTTTGTGAGAAGACAAAGAAAGAAATCCTGTTTTTCTTTTCCCTACCAGCTACAGGTTGGGGAAACTTGTCAGGGAAATTTTATTTTACTTTTAGTAGTAATAGCTGCATTTCTATCTGCTAATGTTTACAGAGAGGTGCAAAACGTAATTATGCAAGGTAAAATCCTATACACGGAATGGCAAAAAACTATACAGAACTAAGTGAAGGCAAACCACTGGAAAAAAGTTACCTTAATTAGTTTTATTTTAATTCTTTCAAACCATTGCTACATAAAACTTACAGATGATTCAGGGTCAGATAATTCATCTAGAAGTTTTCGTGCATCTACGACAGCTTGATAGAGTCTCAGGTTTTTGCCATCAGATGCAACAAAGCAAGCACTAGCAGAGTTGCAGTATGTACCTAATAGAAAACACAAAAATTTCATGGTTAAAGAAAAAAATAGCAGTCAAATGGCATCAGACATGATGCCATTACAAGCCACTTTTATCTGAATAGGTTTCTAACATAATTTTCATAAAGTACTGAACCAAAAACATAAGTAAATGTGTGCATTAAAACACCATTATTTGAACTTTGAAATAACTCTTTCTGCTCATTTATATAACTGAAACTCCTCATAATCTAAGCAGAATACGTAAGTGTTTACAAACATTGTTCACACAGACAAAAAACAGTATGTAGTACACCTAAGGGAACACTGCTGTTCCCTAAAATGGGTATGTTCTCTTCACTGTCACCTCCAAGGAGGTGCTCAGAAGTGCTAACTCTAGCTTCCCTAGGTTCTCAGAGACAATTTAGACTAGGAGGATAAGGTAAACTGTTCAGAAAAGCTATCTTAGCTATAGCTTTTTTCTTTGTTTACGGTTTCTTCTTTTATCCTCTTTGGATAAAATTAATCTCTATGAATGTTCCCTTCTACCCTCCAATTAAAAGTGCAGATATAAAAGTGGAGGGAGAAATATATCTGCAGCAGTGAATAATATATGAAAAACTGTAAGAGAATGTCTTTTTTGCTTCTCTACAGTATATAGAACAGGCTTGACACAAGGTTTTCTATTCTGATGTATGTTTTCCTCTTACATTGTAAGAGGGAAGCAGTGAGTTATTTGTGTTTAGAAGACTGTGTGGGATTCAGACAGCACAGAATGTTACTATGAGAGCAGAGAAAATGGATTTATTTTGTTTTAAATCAAAGATGTTATCCATTTATTATGCATATTTAGGATTTTTGAGGTTGTACAACATCTTTGATACCCATTTAATCACTGCAAAGGTCAGACTGGCCTTAACGTAATAAAATGACCTAGCATTATCGGTAAAAAATTTAATGTTACATCCACAGCACATATGACATTTTTAGTATCGTATACAGAGATGACAACTATTATAACAGCATCTTTATGCTAATTCAAAAATAAGTATCTGAGTGGTGGAATAGAGTAACATTTGTGGAGATAATTTTCCTAATTGCAATAGAAAGCCCTAAAATTAAATACAAAAACTGAAGAATTGTCCTAGGCAGTTATACATCAGATGATATAATGCCTGACCTCTGAAAAAGTACTGCTTGCAGTTCTGTAAAGTAAACGTAGAATATTTTTAAAGAAATCGACTGTGTTCTAACTGGGCTTTTGTAAACCACTGACAGCGTGAAGAATTTTGGTATTGTTTCAGGATCCTCTAAGCAGAGTTCTTAGCCAGCATGTTAAAAGATTTCGATAGTGTAAATTTTGGCTGAAAAACTTTCCCAATAATTCAGATGTTCAAGTGGTCCAAATACTAGTTCTGCTCAACCCACTGCCTCCTGCAGCTGTATGTGGCCAACAATCCAGATGCCTAAGTCATCAGAACATCTGCATTATTAATACCATGTCAATACAGAGAACACTCAGTGAAGCTGCCTAAAGCACTGAGGAAAGTGTCATCTTGTTCTTTGTGAGAGTGATGATTGCTTCCTCACACAAAGTTACTGAATGTCAGCTGATCCACAGTAACTACAGACACAGTCAAATCAAATGAAATGTTTTGAAGTATCTTAGCCTCAAATGAAATAAAAATGCTTAATTTGTGTAATACAAAGAAATTGCTGAAAAGTTTATATAAATATACTCCAAATACAATAGTAATTTATTTTAACAAATTAATTATATAACTCACAGTGTTAACTCTATATGGAAACATGCTAAGTATACTCACCAAGGCAGTAACTGGGAATAAGTGTTGGAAGCCAGGCTACGTTAGAGAAAGCGGAGGTATGAAGAGAGTTAATTCGAGCCAATTCAGATACTCCTCCAGTGTATGATAGAGGTCCTATAGGGTCTACACGCCACAGAATCAGCTCACTATAGATTGCATTTGGGTCATGGAATGTGCGGGTTGCTGCGTTTTTAAGTTGCTGTCTAAAAGAACCTTTCACATGTTTAATAGGATCCGTTATTCTGTTTGTCCTGTCAGAGTCCCAGGAACTGTCTGATTCAGGAGTTAATAGAGCATTATGATGGGAAGACGTTAGCAGTAACGGTAAAACAGAATGGCAAGCTAGATCATTGAGATGAAATCGGTGACCGCAGTACCTAAATTTATGTGATACAGTTAGCACAGTAGTGAAAGCTGACTTATCAGCAAAAGTAACTGCCCACTGATTGAGAGAGCCATCTATATGTTTGGAAATCATCATTACTATGGGAGAAGTTATATTCATGTTTGTGCTGTCCTGGGCAAAGCTTGGTCCTTTATTTGCTAGAGTTTTATCTGGAAAGTCCATTGTCTTCTGATGTACAGCATTACTGTCTTTTACAAAGACAGGGCAAGCATACATCATAATATTCTTGCTAAGGGAACTAGCATCTCCTGATGGAAATGCAACAGGAATCCTAGAAGAAAATGAAACCTAAAAAAGAAAAAAAAAATTAGAATAAATTTTAGCTTTTTCACAGGAAGTACTTTAAATTCATACTGATATTCAGATATAAAAGAAAGGACACAATGATTGTTGATTAAGATCATAAATAATAAAACTATTTCAAATGTACAATACCTGAACTTGTCGAAAGATGCCTGGAGTGTATTCATCTAAATATTTCACATGCCACACCAAAAAGGTACCATCAATAGGATGGATAGTAAAAAGCATATCTGGATTTCTGTTCCATTCAGTTAGGAGCAACTCAATTTTCCGATCTAACAAAACTGTTGGAAGAGGCATGCGTGGGCCTGCTAGCAGAGATGTTTTGGGGCTTCCCTCTCTTTCTCCATCCTCATGTTCTGAAGAGCCTGTACCAGTCCCTGTCTCTGATTCTCTATCTATAGACAAGTCTGCAACAGAAATGAAATGTGACATTTTATCCATTGCAAACATTTCCCTATCAGTTTCTATTCAAAACAACACAATATTTTTTAATCTGCTAATAGTACTATCTGATAAGAACATTCATGCACATTGAGGGTAGAAACATCTTTGGTCTGTCTGTACAAAAATATGAGGCTCTGGCCTTTGACTATTGCTTCTAACTATGCAATACAAGTAGTAATAAATATAACCATAAAACTCTAGATACTTAGAGTAATGCCCTGCCTAAGATTATTCTGGTCAACTACATAAACCCACACATTTTATATTATTGCTGGTTCCATATTAATGTGTTGGGGTTTTTTATTTAGAAGGTAATCATGAAATATATGGTATGTAATCATTGATGAAGTAGTATGTATTGTATGTTCAATAAGAATTATCACACACTTAACTACGGCATTGGTAATCTAGATTTGAAGAATCTAAGCATTATAAATGACACAACGTATCATCAGGTTACTCTCACTAATTGGACTTACTGGTTTCTGTAGACAGATTTTTATTTTACACATTCTTACTGGCCAACTGACCCTCCCACAGCAATGTAAAGTGTTTCTGGTAAGATATGTTTTCCATCCTTAATTTCAAATATGTCTCTGTTCCCTTGTGAACAGCTACAGTTGGCATCATCGGATGAGCTAAGGTTTAACATGTAAATCTTACCAGTACTGGAAACAGTGCAGTTGTATTAAAATGGAGCTATATCCAACCCTTCTTAAAGCTTGCCATAAATTAGTATGTCATTACTGACAATCAGATTGTAAGATGAATAGAGAGCAGGTTTTAGTCATAATTTCATAGCTCAGTGGAACATATCCAAAATGGAAATGAAAGACAAAAGCTACCTTTCTTTTCCACTGTGTATCACTATTGTGTTTCAACAAAGAGTACATCATGCCTACAATTACAGCAGCCAAAATTCCAGTTGTAATTGTGTATTTATTTTAGATTAATGATAAAATGTTGGCACTTATAATTCTTGTGCTAAATAATTGCATTAATTATTGCATTAATGTACTTCAGAATAATTATTGTGCTACGTATCTCAATATTACTAACCATGATCTAATTTCATATGTAAACCTCTCTCTTTTTCTTCCATTTCTTCTTCCTCTTCAACCTCAACATCAAAATCTTGTTCTAGTTGTTGTTCAGAAATTTGTCTTAGATGCTCCATAAATACTTCAATAGAGGATGTAAAATTAAATTCTTTATTATTCAACCAGTGAACTACGAAGCCTCCATTTCCTTCATCTATATTAAAAGCTGTTCCAGCCAAGACTGATGGAATATCTGTGGACATTTTTAAACAAATAAAAAAGCTATATATTAAACTGATATATACACACACACATATACACAGATTTCTTAAGTCATTTAACTTAAGTAGAACATAATTCGTGCTTGTAAGATTAGAAAAGGTAAGATGCAGATCAAGTTTCTTCATGCAATTGTAATTAAAAAAAGTAAAAATATCTTAATATCAATAAATTTACCTGAAAATTTATTCTTATGTGAATGGTAAATTATATTCAACAGTTCTAATTGCTCAGTGTCATATGTTGCAGTGTGCTTGTACAGATTTTTAGGTAAGGCACATGATCGCTCTTTAATCTTCTCCTTGTTTAAAATATTCTACATTATTCTATAAAAAGCAGCTGGTACAGCTCTTTTTAATTCACTATATATTCTGTAGGATGCAAATACTCTATTCATCATATACCATTGCCTCCCAAACCCCAACAATCAAATGCCAAACAGACTTTAAATTTAGGTTTGATTTCTGATGTGCAAAGATGAATTTAATTTGCTTTCAAAAGTGCTGAAGGTATTCAGAATAAATTCAGCCTTATTTGTCTTACAAAACTCTATGCCAAGTAACAGACTTGTGAAATAACAGTCTTCCTACAAATTCTCTATATTCAATCAGGCAAAGCAAAGAATGTGCATCTCAGCTCCTTTTATTTTTTCATTTTGTGCAAATATATTATTACAGGTTAATAAATCGTTGTATTTCACCTGTATTAGGGTTGATGCTTGCTGCTATATGGAAGTGACCAAGTGCATTTGCGTGATGTGAAATGTGACGCTGAACTTCATGAGTACCCTGTTGATCTGGCAGTACATCTGTGTGGGTAACAAGAACTGAAGATCTCCTTTGTCCTTTTCTCATGTTTTTCAAATGGTGAATTGTCTGGTATAGTGATAAAAAATCAATTAAGAAATACTAAAAACTGTAAGGTAAAAATTCACACTTACATAAAGCCTAAACATTTTTAACTTCCTTCTACCGAAGAGGTGAAGACTAATTTCAAAAGGATTATTTTAAATAGATTTCAACAGAGTTTAGTAACACTTATGTACTGGTGAAAGGCAAAGCTCTTCTAACAGTCTTCTGAAAGTTCCTTTAATACCTGCTTCAACAACAACACAAAAATACAGACTATTTTGTGTAACATTCATAAACAAGATTACAACAATCTAAAAGCAATATAATTTTATAATGAATTATTTTTGTGTAACTGAAAATTGCTGGGAGCACGTGGAGAGCACAACTGCTTCTACAGCCCAAAGCATACTTAGTTCCACTCTCCCTATTTGTTGGTGATCATGATATGCAAAAAGTAAAAACTTGGTCTGATTGTAATAGTCTACAAATGAGTGGTGGGGTTTGTTTTGTTTTGTTTTCTTGGTTTTATATTGATAAGTTTTCTCTTACTGTAAACTTAATAGACTTGATATAACTGCTACTGAAATTTAGAGCCCCATAATCCCACCTTTTGGAAATGCAATTATCAAATCAGCTAATTAAAAATTAAAAGAGTTTATTTACTGCTTCCACTGTTTTTATAATTACAGACTTTCAGACCAAATCAGAACGAAACCATCACTTACTATTCCACATTAAATATTGTCTCTTCCCATCACTGTTAGTTAGCTATACGAAACGTAGATTGAGGTTTAAGAACATGGAGCTTGGATGCGGAGTTGCAAAGTCTCTGACTTCTTCAGTGTTTAGTAATAGACTTCAAAAAATGATATCAAATAATACAGACTATTATGCTTATAAGAACTAGATAATACACATCATTAGAGTTCTACATCCTTTAAATATTTAAATTTTAAAAATCTTGAAATAAATTGACAAAATAAGTATTTACTTGTACCTCTAGTGCATGCTGTATTTTGTCCTTCTGCTTTCCAGACTGAGAGATAGTGCTGCTAATGCTGGAAGTGCTAGTTTCACAGATCTGCTCACCAAGAAGAGTATCTTCTGGTAACAACGTCTCTGCCCACAGCCGACAGATGCCATCAAGACATGATGTGAGTAACACGTTACAGACCAAACCCCTAAAAACAGACACATCAAGGTTACTACCCAATGCAATTAAATTAGGTATATGGACTCAGCAGAAATTAGGGGAGTACACAAGTATTTAGCAGTTATTGTTTCATCCAAATTTCTGTCTCTCTCTAACTGAAGATTTTATATCAGTAGTGATTTTTGGCACGCTGATAAACCCGTAGATTATTGGCAAAAGTGCATGTGAACATGGAATGGTGATTATGTGATAAATGCAACAGGTTTTAGAAAACTGCAGTTATGAAACTCCCTAAACTATCTGACTTGCTTCACTATGTGAAGAATGCATACGTTTTACTAAATAATGAAAAATTAAATAGAACAACTAGTTAAATACCAGTATATACAACAAGGTGCAGAAAATAGCTTACTAAATGCTAGTAATTTAAACAAATATTTTATTTCCAATGTCATAGCAACATTTGGTGAAGACAAAGCCTTACATCCATGCTTCCTGGCATAACTTGAGAAGGCACTAAAGTTTAAACCATATTTTAAAATAAATCTCACCTATTAACATGCCTATCACTATTGTACTAGGTAATAAAGAAACTTATGGGAAGATGTTGATATGTTTTATTTCTTGAAAGTATAAGCAGAGAAATCTAATCATGTTCTTGATGGCTAAACTAAGTAAAGTGTTGAAAAAATACTTGGTCAAAGGCTTGTTTTTTTTAAAAAAGAAAATTTTCGAACCTGGGCATGTACTTGCTAATGTTACGCCATGAAAATCCTGTCACTGCTCGAGGATGTGCCAAATAAACAAATGAGAAGTGGACAACCCCTGAGCATTTTTTCTTTTCTTCATTCTCTTGGGGCAGAAGAGATGACTTCCAACCAGTCATAGGATACCAAACCTTTAAGAGGCAGTCATCCTAGGTAAAGCAATAAAAAAAACCACGGGGTTAGCTTGCTGTAACTCAAAATGTCACAAAAAGAAAATCTCAAATAATAAGAAAACTGCTGTTCCTGGTATCTTCCATGAAAATTTGATATGTGGCCCAGAACTATTTGGAGTTTTTCAGACAACCCATTTCTGAGACCACTTATTTCATTGATGGTCATCCTGGAATGAGTTACAGGACTGAAGAAATAATCTGCTGACAACACTCCACTCCCAGAAGGAATTTTTCTTCCAGTCCAGTTGGCCCCCCTACTTCCCTCTTAGTTCTCTGTGCATTTTCTGCATAGCACGTGTGCATGTTTAAATCCCTTGTCCGTTTCCCTGCAAAGCCAGAAGTAGGCTGCACCCTACAATATTAAGCTCATTAACAGTCAGTTTCTCCACTGACACAATTCATGCTGTAAGCCCCTGTTGGTTCCCATGCACAGAAAGCCTGAATTTCATGGAAAAGTACAGTGAGCATAGGCAGACAGTAGAGGAGCAGATGCATATTACAACCTTCCCCTCCACCAGCACAACCTATGCTACCTTTCTGGTTTGAATGGTTGGGCGCCACTGATGTAATTAATTGAAATAAATCTGAATCGCTGACACAGCAATACTACAAATGCTGATAAGTGAGACTGGAGTACGATTATACTGATGTGAGCTAAGGACATTACTAGTACAACAGTACATTGTGCACAGCTGGATGCCACATCCCTGGATTTCAGGACTTGCTGCTGGAGTGGAGATACAGAATAAAGTAAATACATGAATAAATCACAAGCCTCTGAGAGTGTAGAAAAAAGATAGTATTTCCTGACAAGCATCAAAAAGTACAGTATCTGACCACAGATTCTGCAAGAAGGAAGTCTGACAGGCAGCCCTGTTAAGAATTATGATCAAAGCTGTGTATTTCATGTGACAACTAATACAGAGCTGTCCTAGAGACAGAAAATGACTTCTGGAACCATCTGCTTCATCTACTTAGTCAAATTCTTAGCTATATAAAAGTATATTCATGGGAAATAGAAATATGGAATGAAGTAAATCTTTTTATAATTTTCTAACCACAATGTTTCTAAATGTAATATTTATTAAGGTGTTGCAAGTACGTTTTTAATCATAAAACAATGCAGATCATGATTTGGTTGTCTTTAGTAAGTGTAAGAATACAAAGGTTCCTAAAATTCATCTCATTGTTCAACCAACATTAAGTGCAAGCAATAAATGCTTACCTATCCAGACCTGAAAACCAAAGGGAATCACTCAAATGAGAGGGTGACATTAAGGAGAATTATTAATTGAAAACTTAGCTTCAATAGCAATTTGACAAAAAATATGCCAAATGGAAATAGAAGTTAAGAACTGATAATTGAACCCAAATTTCACTAAATAGAAAATGCTTTCTAATTTATCCACTGAGGTGTGCATATTATACCAGTTTAAATGTGATGTGTTCTACACTAATGATGTAATATTTATCCTCATTATTTCCAACAGAAGTAGAAAAATATGTTTATGCATATCTGAAAGTTCATCTAGGTATACTTTATCTAAAAAAATATATATACGCAAGTCTGTATCAATGTCACTGCATTTCCAGGTTGATTCTCAAGTATTTAGTAAGAGTACACAGCTAAATTCATGGAATTACATGAAAATACAGCTGTATTTAACTTAGCTCAGATTACAATACAGTGTATGGTTCAGGACTATTCTGTATTACTTATTTACTTCTGTCAAACAAATGCAAAACTTTGCAAATGCTTATTTAATTATTCTTTTTTGTCCTTACCTTCCCAGCTGTTGCAAAGTATTCACCATCAGGAGACCATGCCATCAAATGTACTGATACTGCAGTCCTAAAGATCATGAGAATAAAGTTTTAAGTTGTAAGTAAAGTCTATTTATTCTACAGTATTACTCCATATGTATTCAGTTAAGTATTCTTGTTCATTATTTAAGTGAAATATATTAGTATTTTATAGTTGTTGCTTTAAGCATACTTTAGAAATAGCAGAAGCATAAAAGGTATTTGCTACGATGAAACAAAATATTTAGTATTTTCACAGTTTTACAGAAAAAAGCCCATAAAATAAAGTGGTTTAAGTATGGCAAGCCTAGGCTAGATCTGATGAGATCAGAGAAGTGAAGTTTGTCCCACCTGCTCCTCTACTCCCAGTGAAGCCAAGACAAATAGTAGGAGGAAATGAAGGTGAAGATAAGTTGTGATACTGTTTTTCTGTGACTACAGCTTATGGATCAGCTGTCTAAAAGAGGAAAGCAGCCTATACAGTACTTTGTGGGCACAAAATTGAAAATGGCTTCAAAATAGTCCAGATAAAACAGGTTCATAGGCAGCTGCTTCCCAAGTCTTCATCTATACATATATATACATGGGGGGGGTGTGTGTGTATCTATATACATATTTTTAAATGGCTGATTATGAAGCACTTCCGTAACATGGATCTCAAATAGAACTGGGTAGAAAGAGTTTCAGGACCCTCTTCCTAAGATTTAGGAAGCAGCTCTCATCTTTATCTGCCTGCAACTGCTCCTCTGTTCAGTCTCATCCAATATCTCAGCACTGCTTTCACAGATGAGAAAATAAGGAAAATTTTGATATATTGCCAGTGCTACAGTTTGGGTAAGCCTTTGACTAGGTTATCTGGTGATAGGCCACTTGAAAAAGTGAGGAATTTTTATTTGGAGTAACTTACTTTATTTGAATTTTATAGTATTTTAAGCTGATTTAAAAGCACATTTTAAAATATGGTTTTGGAGAGAAGATAGGGTTGATATATGAGGTGGCATTGCAATTTGTCTGAAAATAAAAATTATCTCACTCACTTGCACTGCCACACACATTTCCAGTCATTTAGAACCGGGAGAACCTTATCATCTTTGAACTGATTGTCAGGATCATCATCTTCATCTTCCTCTACAATGTCACTAGATGGAGGGGCCCACAATTGCAAGAAGTCAGTTGCTGTCAACAGTCTGTTACCTGAAAGTGAGTAATAACACAGCTGTGAAACCAAGATGATGCACGTATGTTGAAAGATTAAGCCTGTCATCATATTTTGTTGAGAATTATTCAAAACAGGTTGAAAACTCAACTTTATATAGTCCTTTTAAAATATGATAAGCTATTCAATCATATTATACAGATGTTTTTATTAAAGCATTTTGAATTTATAATATCTTTTAAGACAGAACCTAAAGGGTTTTTTGGTGACTTCAAATGATAAATCATATTTAATAATGAATGTTGTATATGCTAAATAGCTATTCACATCTCAAATTCATACTGTTAGACATCTTATAAATATCTGTGTCCGGGTACACTGATGACCTTAATTGTGATAAAATTCTATTTAAATTATTATTAGTGGCAATTTAAGCCCGTTAGCAACTTAATATTCTCAAACTAAGATCTTGCATAAGAGACTTAAATACTTGGCACAGCTTCTTCACAAATGCTAACTGTAGCCTCACGTTTTATGCAACACTGCCTGAGAACAGATAATCTAAAATTTCCATATTCATGCTCTCACTTTATTACAATAAAAATAATTTGTGTTTAAGTTTCCCTAGCTACAGACGATGAACAAATATTTCACAAACTTCACATTACCTTGAGGATCCCATGCCAGGTTGTAAGTCATAGAACTGAGGAAGAATTGCCCAGTTTTAAGCCACTGACACTTTAGTTGCTGTAGTTAAAAAACAGTAAAGGATTAATTCTCACAGCAACAGCAAAATACAAAGGTATTGGTAATTTCTTTCTTTCTCTACAAAATTGCAATTAAGCCTGTTGCAAAAACATTCAGGACCTAGT